CTGCAGATATAAATCTACGTTAACGAAGTTACTTACGTCACATACACACTGTTGACTCCATGGAACTGAGTCCTTCTTTCATCAGTCACTCAGTTTTTCAAGAACCCGAAGGTCCGTTACAGCGTTCACAAGATCCCGCCACGTGTCCTTGTCCTCAGCTAGATGAATCCAGTCCCTACTGCCCAAGCCTACTTCTCTAAGACCCATTTTAATATTATCCTCCCACCTACGACGCATACATTGCATTTCAGAGAGGGATAATTACCTGAGGATTTAATTCCATTCTCTCCACAATTCCTCATTCACTTCTTAATTCAGTCACGTTTTGTGCAACATGTATGCAAGTATTTTGATGTTCATATTATGACGTATATACCCATTGCTAAGCAACGGCTCGGTAAATAAGCCTGGACATCAGAGAGACTGTTTTCTGTGGGGTCCACGTCGCGACCGTTGTTAAGAAATGAGTCGGTAAGCTACAATAGAGACTGTGATTTCTGTGTAGCCCGCGCCGAGGAGTTATCTTGGATAAAATCGAAGGTACAAGAAGTTAAGGATTCAGCTGTGGCGTGTTAACCAGCGGGCAACGGAAGCGAAAAAATCTCCATTGCTAGGATTCGTTTCCAGGAAACGTCTAGTGAAGACACTGCAGAGGAATAGCCAATGTGGAGAGCTGCTACTAAGTAATGACTAGTGGAAATAGACTGAGAAGTCTTAGTGTTGAGTTATTTTAGGGTGGTAATCAGCAATGGTGTAATAATTAGTTGTAGTTACGACCTGTAAGTGGTCAGTAAATCTATTCACCAATCCAAACCCCGGCTATAGTCACTAATAAAACAAAATAAAACTCCATGCCTTGAGTCCGCAAGCGAACTATACCGACCGAGCGACCGTCGCCGAAGTTAGTGCCAACTTTAGCAGATAGAGAGTGCCGCGTGGTCAGCGCAACGAATCCCCACGGCCGTTAATTTCGTTTTTCTACACCGGAGCCGCTATTTCCTTGAAATAGCTCCTCAATTCTATAGTCAGTAATACACGTGACAATATACATAGTCACGTGTACGGAGGTACGCGCGCCGAGAATGGCGGGTTCTAGTTCGGATGATTGGATTTATTAACACTTTGGTTACAATCTCTCTTAATCACATTTAAATATAGGCAATACAGCGCTATCGCTGATGTACACACTTTCCAGTTCACCATTGCACACTCACTAGGATTCTCTGTTTCCACTAGTCGTCTCCTAGCAGCGGATCTGAACACAGAAACTATCACTTTGAATCACTACAAATATTACACATAAAGTCTCCCAATCACACTCTAAATCCTCACAGCCCGACCTCCTGTATTCTTCTGCACTCCTGGTTCCACTTCGCTCTGTTTTCGTGATTCCACCGCTATTTCTCTCTCCGGCGACGAACTCAAGACTCTGTCACTCAAAACTCCGTCACTCTACTTCTAGTTATAATACGACTGACTTCGGAATTCTGCTCACTTTTATAGGCGTGGGACAGACAACGCATCACAGTAAACACATGTCAAGTGATCGCTACCCACTACAGTTGTGTGACGTCACAGACAGCGCGTTGCATAGCAATGGTCCGTCCGCGTACATAGAAAACACTGTTCCTGTACTGTTGGCGGCGTGCGTGTTGCGGGTGTTGTCTAACAACGGCCGATGTTTATACATTCACTGCTTAGCAACAGGTCTGTAACCCACAATATTTAAAATTTGTCCCTGCGCTTAATTAATTAAACACTATGCCATGAAGACGTATGGGGGAATGGAGGTATAACTCCATCATTCTTGACCTGTCACTAGATGGAGGGGTGGTCAGCTTCACACAACGGCCGCCTTACCCCCGGTACCCATTGGATAGAAAGCTGGGTGGCCTTGAGAGAAGGCCTGGACGTTATGTAGAAGAGAAGAATCTCGACCTTGTCGGGAACTGAACCCTGGCCGTCCAGCGCGTAATGAGTCGCTATACCGACTGAGTTATCAAGACCCAAGTTCTAAAACTGTAAAATCAACAGTGAAATATTCCAAAGCATATAAATATGTCCACATAACAGCCCTTCCCATCTAGAACAAACTTAAGGCTACTAGCCTAAGTCTCAGAACTTTCCAGAACTTTCCAATGAAAATATCATTACACATTCCTCACATTATAGCGCGGCTAGTTTCTATGTTTCCACTATATATCCGCATCCTTCGGACGATAATTTCTGCTATTTTAAATCACAGTATATTATACATCGACAAATTCTCTACATATAATCTCGAACGAGCAGAAAAACTGTACAATTTTGCTCATTAAATACCAGCTCGTTGGCATTCCTATCTTTCTGTAGCGGGTCAGATTTCTGTCTTCCCATGCGGAAAATATATCAACACACACAACAAATTTACTACAATTAATTTTTACATTTTTTGTGAAATAATATTGTACGCGTAAATAAATGGGGCAGGAAAATATCTTGAGGACACACAAGCAATAAGCATAACAGGTTGGAGTCCGGCCAACAGGTAGAACTTGCCTAAGGTTTTCTAAAAACTATACAAGTTCAATAAGCAAGATTTTGTTAGAGTGAAAAAAAAAAAAAGTAGGTACAAATATCCCTGCAACAGGCCGTGGTGGCCTATAAGGTTGTGAGACGTCGAGGCTCCCACATTTTATAGACAGTCGGTTCACGGACCTGAACCAGCTTGCCGCGTCTCAATCGGAGTTGCCAAGGAAGCGATCAGGGACTGGCCTGACAGAAATCACAAAAAACACTGGGAATCCACAACTGGACTGAAACAGGGAAAAGGATTTATATCAGGACCTTCTGCCAAAAGAACGAGGAACCTGTTAAAATTAAACAGAGACCAATTAAGATGGTGGTAGGATTACTTACTGGACGCTGCCACCTAAAGGGGCACCTATTCAAACTGGGACTGACAGATGACCCAACCTGTGACAGGTGCCTACAAGAAGATGAATCAGCCACACACATCTTATGTGACTGTGAGGCTATAGCTTACCTAAGATATCGATCGCCACCTGGGTCAATTCTTCATGGAATCAAGTGACTTTTATGACGCCCAGGCTCACCCCTCGTACTCATACTCATAGTGTGTATGTTCCCACTAGTTGAGTGTATGTCATGAAAGGTTTCCAGGACCTTCTTACAAGAGAATTGTACGCAAAATAACACGAATATTAAAGATACGGAAAATGGTACTTGAAGAGTGCCTTCACTGAAAGAAATCACCCTCACAAAAAATGGAAGTATATTCTTTGTGGTCCGTACACAGATATTTATATAGCCTTGGGGGAAAGGCCACGGTTACTGACATCCATTATTTAATGACGATTCATCAACTTGAGATATTATGAAACAGTTCATAAAGAAATCACTTCCCTTACGCTGAGAAGAGTTTGCACCATCAAGCTCCAAACTGAAGGAATATCCTATCTCAGCTGCCCGCCATTTCTCATTCAGCACGCACGCAGCCGCTACATAAACAATTAAATTTATTCCTTGAAACTTCAATAATAAATCAGCTATTCAAAAGTCTCCTATTTCTACAGAATTCAAGGATTAATTACAGTGTTCACAAAAGCCAGCTACTGGACCATATCCTTAAGCACCTAAATATTCGCTTCGCGCAACCTCTTTCTATAAGATCAATTTTAATAATGTGGCATGTCTGCTGAAAGCCAGAATTATGAAGCAAATATAGCCGTAGCTAGGGAACGGCTCCGTAAACAAGCCCCCTGCAAAGCAATGGCTCAGTGGCCATCACGTGAAGGCCGCAAAAGATAAGCACACAACAACAGAAGAGTTGTTGGAAGCGGTGTTCTCTATGTGATCCGTGCCGAGGCTATATAATGAAGGCCAGCTGCCGTTACAAGAGAAAGAAGAGTAGGAGGTTCGTGTGAGATGGCCGCCAGCCTGCGAGGACGTAAGCCCGGAAGCAGAGGAACGTCCACTGTTGGAGGACGTTACCAAGCAACAAAGTGAAGACCGTGACTGAGAACTCTAATCTTTGCGTGATAGTGATTTCTAAAGTGTAGTCACGTGTTGTGTTCAAGCGTTCAATAAATCCGATTACCATTCCAGACCCCGTCTACAGTCACACTCATACACGTGACAATAACAGACTTTCATCCAAGTGTATGTTTCTTAAGTGGTCTCATCTCTTGAGGATTTTTATCTCATCATGCGTACTACCTACTTACTTATGAAACTGAGCCATTCTTGATAAGGCAAATCTGCAGCTACTCAAGAATTTACCAGCATTTTATTGAACCCGAAGGTTCATTACCGTGTTCACAAGAGCCCTCCACTGGTCCCTATCCTGAGCCAGATAAATCCAATCCATACCATCCCATCTCTCTAATATCCATTTTAATATTGTCCACCCACCAATACCTTGGTCTTCCCAGGGGTCTCGTTCCTTCTGGCTTTCCCACCAATATCCTATATGCAATTCCTCGTGTCCCCCATTCTTGCTACATGCCCTGCCCATCTCATCCTCCTTGACTTGATCATTCTAATTATACTTGGAGAAGAGTACAAGTTTCTGAAACTCTTCATTATGCAGTTTTCTCCAACCTCCTGTCACGTCACCTCTCTTCGGTCCAAATATTCTCAACACCCTGTTCTCAAACACCCTCAGTCTATGTTGCTACATATACAATCCCAACAATATTAATAATAGAATATATAACCTTCCTCATTATTATTCTCCAACCTCCTCTGCGTGGTACGTGTATACATACAGAAGGGGCAAATACAATAACAGTGTGTTGAATTTGGCTTCATGGTAGAATGTTGGATGTCCCTGCCTTAATGTATTAAGAACCGATATGATGATGGGAGGGGCACAGGGTTTTTCTTCATAAACAAAGCATTGGTGGGGAAGATGGCCTACTATGCTTCGTCGCTTACTTTATAACAGTGACTGGTGACAGGAGCGTTGAAGTCTAACTCTGACCCAGTAAGAATATACATCCAACTCGTACAAGAAGCAGAAAACGTATCCGTTATAGTGTCCAGTCGTACATAGTGGTATTTTCGACAATAATACATCCACTAAAATTCAGTTGTGTTTATGTTGTACGTCTCCAAACACAAACCCGGACGAAAATGATAATTATTGTGCGTTACCAGCAACTAGCAATTGAAACTACGTTTATTTTTCATTTCGGATTTGGTAACAATGATTAAATGTGTCATCGTCATTAGAGACGCGTTATGATTAAAAGTGAAATAATTATTTATGTGTAAATAATAATTCGTTGTGAGCAGAAATTAATTGAAATAAATGTGAGATCACAAATTTATATGAATTATTTCTTAGCTGATGTCAGGTAGGAGAAATGGTTCATAATACAAGCAAGCTGTTGATACGAACGATGTGGCTGTGTAGGAAGTTAACATGTGCGACTTTTATTTTGGCGCTAACTGCGTCAATTATGCCGTGTTTTAGCGTTTCTTCATTTAAAAACACGCTACAGATATATAAACGAAACAGAATTGGTCATATAAATGATTATATTCGACCAATAAGAACTTCGGCAGTTTCTGAACCACGATTTTCAAATTTTGGAATTATCGGAAGTTTGGGGGGCTATTTTACAAAATTTTATAGCTATTTCGAGTCGGGTATGAACCTCTTATGGGGTTTTGACGGAAATATGGATGATACACGGGATGCTAGTTCGAAGAAAGTGAATTACAAACGTTATCAACTGTTGAGGGTGATACCGAGGACAGACCCGCAGGTGGATGACGTATTAGCGCTCAGAGAAGAGATAGAAGGACTGATGTACTGGACGGAGCCGGTGAAGAACCATTCTGCAGACATCCTGGTGCCCCCAGATTTATTAACTGACGTCAAAGAGTTCCTCAACTTACGAGGGCTTGAGTTCGTCGTTCTTTTCAAGGACATACAGGTTAGTAGAAAATTGGGTTTTGTCTGATTGGAACTACAGTGTAATTTTCCAACCAGTTGCTTTCATGGCTTTATAACTGCGTCGTATTAGAGACAGTAGAGTTGGTTTCGTTTCAGAAGCATCCCTTTTCTTGATGCTTATTTGATGATACGATTCTAATCTACTACTCCATCGAAATTCGGAGTGCAGTGACTGGTATTTCTGTTCGTATTTTGGACATTCAAGTCCCATTCGAAGACCGGATATCGTAAATTAGGATTTTATTGGTTTCTTCATTCCCATTAAGTACAGCGATACCAGAGCAATCTCTCGGTAAACATTGGAGTTACCTTTTCGAAAACAGAAAGCAGTGGTTGAAGAAACCAAGGCCTTGTGGGAAGGTAAGATTTAGGGGAGACACCGAAGCTCTTAACACTCTTCAAAGCCCTAAGTAAGTTGTCCATTCCTTCTCTAAACAAAAAAGGATAGATGATTACACTTTTAAAAGTAAATTAGATGTTTAATATATTGACACGTGTTCGGAGCTGGCGTGACTAATAATAACGGGTTCTGGATTTGATGATTGGATTTCTTGGCATTCCTGTACAATTACAGTCAATAATGACAGCTCACATATTGAACTCATTCTGAACGAATTACGACTCCTGTCTGACTAATCTCTACAACTACACTAATTCACGAATGAACTCCCTTTCATAACTGTCACACGGCACCAAAAGTCATCATGTCGAACAGTTAATTGTCCTCTGTTACTCTGCTTGTTGTCACTGGAATGCCTTTGTTAATATTCGTTGCCGCGGAAACAGGTGTTTGCGTGCCGTTGCCCGTCAAATTAACTCCAGTTTCTGCTGCTGTTCCAGCTTTTATGCAGTGGTTACTTAGCCGTTGCCTAGCAATGAATTATTCCGTCACAGTATTAAACGTGTTAAAATTCTAAGCAAAGAAGGAAAGCTGTTTCGGTATCCGGTAAGAAATGTTAGAAACCCGCCGATTTTCTCCAGTGTGTATAGAAAATTTAAAAAAACGAATGTATATAATTCGGTTTGCAGACAATCGAATAAGAAAAAAATATATAACTAAGAAAATTTATCTTGAACGTCTTCCTCAAAATGTACACTTACTTACTCATGAAGCTGAGCCCTTCTTGAGGAACCTCCAATTCTGCAGCTACTCAATAATTTCCCAGCATTTTATGGAACCCGAAGGTTCATTACCGTGTTCACAAGAGCCTTCCACTGGTCCCTATACTGAGCCAGATCAACCCAATCCATACCATCCCATCCTATCTCTCTAAGATTCATTTAAATATTGTCCACCCACCTACGCCTTGGTCTTCCCAGCGGCTTTCCCATCAATATCCTATATACATTCCTCGTTTTTGCTTAGGTCGTTTATCCAAAGAATCCGTCCAGGTCGGAGGCTTCTTGAGAAGTTTCGTAACAAGCTTATTTTTTACGGTGAGTTATTAGCCCCACGCCCAACCCACAAGCTGGAGGATCACCCCTTGTCGGCTGTCCGCGACTGCTTGTTCAATATATTTGCAGCTTCCCTCCATGCCTTGGTGACAAGGGACCCACCTAACTTGGCCTCAAAATGTATAGCCGTCAGAAATTGTCAGATCCTGTTTTCATGTTCTGGTTGCAGTTCTTTATGTCGCGTGGTGATCGCAGAGTCCAGCCCGTGCCGAACTTTGTGTAACATTTCCTGACAGTGTTATTTCTTTCGTGAGTTGTTCTACAGCTCGCTCTGCATCGAGACTACATGACGTCGGATGGTAGGAAGACAGATGAATGATGAATTATCGTAGAAAGGATCTGGAAAAAAGCGGCCGTTAATATAAATAAATTTGCTGGCAGAAAAACTTGGAGCGCGCGGTAGCGTAGTTGGTTGAGACATTATGCTACAAGCCGAAAGGTCGCAGGATCGAATCCCGATGAGGTGGATTTTTTCAATTTACCTAATCCTTCCAGCGGCACTATGGCCCTGGGGTCGACTCAGCCTCTAACATGAATGAGTACCACGAATATTCTTGAGGGTAAAGGGCGGTCGGCGCGTAAGGCTGACAACCTTACCGCCATCTATGAGCCGATTGCCTAGAAAATGTGGGAACCTCAACATCTCACAGCCCTGTGGGCGTACATGACCTGTTACAGGGATCCCTTTACTTACTAAGAAAAACTACAGAACACCCCAGTCAGTATGGCTGGTGCCCCCGTAGAGACACTTCCAGAATATAAATGTAGACCAACCTGTTCGGTTGGAACAGTCGTACTCAGAGTATGTGGTATTGTACAGTCTGAAAACTGTTCTGTGATATAATACCGTGAAGTCTGTTGAAAGTCGACCGACGTTTCGAAGGAACATGTCGCAGGTAACAAGCAAATCTTGCAAGCTCTGCGTGCCACCTACATTGACGTTAGTTTCTTTCTTGGCTTATTCTTCGACCATGAAGTTGGAGGCAACGTGTTCTTCCGCAACTTCGATTGACTTTCAATTGACTACACGTATTAATATCCCAGAAGACAAAACTCTCCGTAACCACCTCTGTGAGAACCTCAGGTCCTACAGACACCAATATACATATCTACTCAGTGTGAAACCATCTAAGCTAGGGAAATCAGCTTACGTACGTATCCAGCAAGTGAAGTGAATCAGCGGCTAGGCGAGAGAGTAAGGAAATTCTAGAGATGATGTTAGAAGACAAAAATAAGTTGTTCCTGTGCTTAACTAATTTAGCACTATGCCATGAAGGCGTATAGGGGAGTGGATATATAGATCCACATTTTCTTGACCTCGGCACTAGTTGGAGGTGAGTGGTCAGTTTCACGCCCTTGCCGCTTTGCCCCCAGGGAAATAGCCCCCGGTACCCATTGGATAGGAGGTGGGGTTGATCCCAGAGCGATGTTAGAAGATACAGATAAAAATACGCTAAGAAATATTTTCCTTTCTGTTGTCTAACATCTGCGAGACCAACATTTTGTGGGATTGCGATGCGATTATACTGTTCACGTTCTATACATAATGTACGTATAACAAACCAGATCTTCTAGATTGTTGAAAGGCAGCTTACCGTCAGTGGCAGAAATCTTGTAGCTTGTACACGCACTTCCCATGCTGCTGATGTCGTGTTATAATCAGTTTTATTATGTATGCTGCATTGGCTGCATGTTTTCACGCTGCTAAAGTAGCTATATCGTTAAGTGGTCTGTGTATGTATATATTATCTACATAATACCTACATACACAGACAACTTAATGACGTAACTACTCTAACAAGTGAGAAACATACAGCCAATGGAGCATACATAACAAAACTGATAATAACACGAAATCGACATCCTTACGAACTGTACGAGTAACACGCATAATACCCACAACGCAAAGGAAACGTTGGGCGAAAAAAATCCAAAACGAGACATAATCAGGCAAATGTCTTCCAAACGAACAACGACCACAATGAAAAACATTAAGATGCTAATTAATTTTATTTAAGGTTAATTTATTTTAATTAGAAAATATCGCGTCCACACGCGATACGTAATTTTGACATGGACTGCAACAATTTTAACGAGATACACAACACCTGATGGTGACTGTACACTGCCGAAACATGTAATGAGGAAGAAGGATGACTGGATAATAAGTTGCATTTAAGACGGAAATATATGTAAAAAAAAATGATTCTTATGTTGATATCCAAAAATCATCCTGGAAAACATGGAATATAGAGGGATCTGCGTGCTATATAGTCAAGCACCGCGATTGTAAGGGTGGAAAACAGCAGTTCCTTGTGCCATGAAATTTATCAAGGCATCTTCCTTTCTTCCACTCCAAATATTTCTTCTTCTTCTTTTTTATCATGGCAAGGCTCTTACCGAAATTTAGTTCCTCTCATATCGCTCCAAATTCATCAGTAAAAGTCATCATGCCATATGTCAGCCGTCACTGTTCTATTTTAATTATATCACTGAGTAAATGACAGCAGAATTTATTTCGTTTTAGAATTGTAATTTGTCACAACGTCCACAGTTTATGACGGGACTATGCTCCTTTCTCATTGACACACCCAGTCGTCACGGTTAGCGTTCCTAATTCACAGTCTAGAGTCCACAGTAAGAGTTCGAAACCCGGGCATCATGATTCAGGGTTCTTGTGCTTTTCTTCCGTCTCTCCCAATAAATTATGTAACAGAATCTTGAAACAGGCCACAACAGCTTCTTTCAGTTGTCACCCAATTCATCATTCACGGCCATCAGCAGTTGATACTGCTTGTTAAATTAAAAAATTAACAACTGTCTTTAACTGCGATGTAGACTTCAGTGTGTGAAGTACATTTCAACGATTATGCTTTGTACGTTTAGCGTAATCATTTCCCTTCTTCTAAAAGCTATTATCTAGTTCCACACATCTAGTTCCTGTGTAGGCTACACAGAACAATACCTGAACAACGATAAACAAGAAGTGGCCGCTGCAGCACTTAGACATAGGGCATGTACCCTGAGAAAAATTTTAATTTTAAAATTTGAAAAAGGAAAAGAACACAAATTTTATAGATACTTTAACTTGAATTAAATTGTTTAAAAAAAGTGCTAAATAGAAATCAAAATTAACGCGTGTAGGTTAACAAACAGTTTATACAACAGTTTGTACAATTAGAAAGACTGGTGATTTTAAATTTTAACAGGCAGTGTAACAGCTACGTAAGAATACACACCTGATGATGGCCATTTAGGGCCGAAACATGTAGTGTGGAGTGAGGGGAAAGAAGAAATAACTACAATAAAATTGTTACACTTAAGACGGTGTTTATATTATATGTATATTTTCCAATTTTTATGTTAAAAATCCAAAATCCAAAAATGTTACTGAATTATACTAATGTGGATCCATATTAGTATTATTTTAAAAATCACTTGATTTCTAAATGTATTTATAACGTATTCTGCGGTACATGCCCGTTGTTAAGCGGGAACTATGTAAACACAGGCCGTTGCTGGGTA